AATAGTCTTAAAACTCTATTTTACATAGTAAGGCATTTTGACAGCTTGACAGCAATGTAAACGAACACAGTTCTGTCTCAGGTTTATGAATGATACACATTGCCGGTGTGTATCATCAGCTCAGTCTGCACGAACAAAATACTTGAGGGTAACTTCCTTCAGAATGCTGCTCTGCTGGACCTTCAAGCATCTTTTTAAATATATATGAACTCAGCAGCTATATCAGTTTTCCATTCATGCGGAGCTGTACAGATTGCACCTCTTGTCATCCTACATGAAGGCGCCCGGAGGGAATTTCGCCTCACTGAATAAGGCCACACACACATTATAGAAAGTCCGTTGCAAAGTATATAGCTTACACACTACACTTTCATATAACTTCAGTCTTTTTTGTTGGTTTTCATACAAACCAGTAACCCATACATGCCATAAATATCCACCCTTCACAAATACATTAAGAATGTCTTTAAAATTACAGTTTAATTCCAGAGAGGAGAGATGATGCAGTAGTATGGTAACACTTTAGTTTAGGGGCCAATTCTCACTATTAACTAGCATGCATATTACTAGCATATTGTGTGTTTATTAAAGCACTTATAAAGCACATATTAATGTCTTATTCTGCAAGATCATATTTTAGATCCCTTAATCCACCCCATACCTAAACTTAACAATTACCTTAGCAAATGTATTGATGCAGAAGTCATAGTTAGTTAATAGTGAGAACTGGTCCCCAAACTGAAGTGTGAGCAGTCATTTTAATAATGTAATTTATTGCTTTTATTATAACATGGATATCCGGTCCTGGTGTCTGACCAGAATTTCTTTACAAAACAAAATGTTCATGTTACAAGAATAAATCACGAATGTAGTTTGCATATGCTTTCAACATTTGTTCCACCATGCTTTTATTATTATTAAATCCAACATATGGCCTACAAACACAGTGCCTGTACATATCCCTGCTTGGCTCAGATATGGAAGCACAGAAATGTAAGTCATCGTGCCTTTTTTCAGTCGTCCACAGGTTGTCATCTCCATCACAGTCCGTGTCTTTTCTGGAACCGTGTCCCTGAGGAAGAATATCTTCATCATGGACATCATACACTCTTCACTTTCATGAGGACCCTCTGGGCATGAACACCAGCGGCTATGTGTTTAATGTTACAATTGGTTAAAATTAATTTTCATGAATTTTGCCATGTGTTTTCATTGAATGCATTTTTATTGATGCAAATAATAATGGGGAAAAAAACAAATAAAAATAATAATTAAGGTTGCAAATGCCATTTACAGAATTTTGTTCTTTAAAGGGATAGTTCACTCAAAAATGAAAATTAGCCCATGAATTACTCACCCTCAAGCCATCCTAGCTGTGTATGACTTTCTTCTTTCAGACGAATCCAATCGGAGTTATATTTTAAAAATGTCCTGGCTCTTCCAAGCTTTAGAATGGCAGTGAATGGGTGTTTTTTTTTCAATAGTCCAAAAGAAGTCCAATAAAGCGCATCCATCCATCCATCATAAAAAGTGCTTCACTCCGGCGGATGATGTAGACGTAGCGTAAGTTCCGGTGAGAATATGCTAGTTTCTCGAGAACTGACGTCTGTTTACAGGAGCAAAGGAAGCAAAGCTTCCTTACTTTAGCAAAGAAAACCAGTCTCCTATTGGCTATGTTGGAATGAATGCGCGTACGACAGTTAGCAGAAGCTAGAGATTACGGTTTATAAAGTTTTAAATATGGATATTTTTCTTACAAAAATGGATTGATTCGCTTCAGGACGCCTTTATTCATCCCCCGGAGCCGTGTGAGGCACTTTTTATGATGGATGGATGCACATTATTGGACTTATTTTGGACTAAAAATAACACCCATTCACTGCCATTATAAAGCTTGGAAGAGCCAGGACATTTTTTTAATATAACTCCAATTGGATTCGTCTGAAAGAAAAAAGTTATACACACCTAGGATGGCTTGAGCGTGAGTAAATCGTGGGCTAATTTTCATTTGTGCGTGTGTGTGTGTGTTTGTTTGCTTTCTTTCTTTCTTTCTTTCTTTCTTTCTTTCTTTCTTTCTTTCTTTCTTTCTTTCTTTCTTTCTTTATCTATTCATCCATCCATCCATCCATCTTCTTGTCACTCCAATTAAAATATCGACTCAACATCCTATTTTTATTTATTTTTTGCCAATTCAGTTCAAATTCACACTCATTAGTTAAAAGGGAGGCACTTCTCCTATAAAAAAAAAATTTAAAAAAATAAATAGTAATTTTTCCCAAATTATCTCTACAAATAATCATTGACATTGCCTAATATAATTTTGAGACCAAGTTCTCAGATTCAGTATTACATTTTATTAATGTCCCAATCGTTTCTTTATCGGTGTATTGATATTTTCAATTGTGGAAAGTGAGAATTTGAGTGTAGCACATATTATAAGAGCCTCAGATGGTAAACAACTGACTGACTTTCTTTCTTTCTTTCTTTTTTTAATAACATCAGATTCAGATGTGTGAGGCTGGCTTGAGGACATTAATTTCTGTGAAGTTCAGAAAACGAACATTACACAAGAAAATAAAAGCATCATAAACCGAGAATCCGACAGCTTTTGGAGTTTTATATATATTTATTGAGGGTTCATAGATTTTCAAAGATTATAACAAGAATTGTTCCTGTCAGTCCGTATGCATCTGCTGACCCTCTGCTTGGCGTCAGAGAGCGTTTGCTGTTTTCTGATGTTGTTGTATTGGTACGTCTCCTCTGTGAACAGAAGCTAAGGCTTAATCTGTGAACATGTGCAAAAACACACTCTCAGTTTGCCATCTTTACTCCATCATTCCTAAATGACTTTCTGCTTTTGTTGGAGTATCACAAATATATAAAAAGCAATTAACTAAAAAGTACAATAAAAGAATGAGAGGCACAAACACAAAGCAAAGCAGTTACCAAGCGCTTGCATTTTCTCACACAATCATAAACCATTTCTTTTGTGTCTGCGTCTCTGTCTCCCACACACACAATCATACAGAATGTTCTGCTAAAACAGCTAAAAAGGCCTAATTATGGCATCCAGTCATTTTTAGGACCTGAGATGGAAAATACAATTACAAAATAAAACAAAGGGGGGAAAAAAATAGAAACTATTGTAGAACTTTTTAGAATGGCAGTGTGTTTTAGATAAAGAACAACAGAAAGAGAAGGAACTATACCAAATACATACATACATACATACATATATATATATATATATATATATATATAGTTGGGTATTGACTTATAATAAGAACATTCTTTCCCTAATAGACTATATGCAAGTCCAAAGACAAAAAATGTAAATAATAATAATAATAGTTGTTTACTAAGGAGAGCAAGTGGCAAGTTTCAAATTATTTACATTATTGATTTGTCACCAAGTATTTTTCATAACATTGCTTTGTTGTAGCCTTTGCATTAACGAGTAAAGTACAAACCAGAAAGTTTAGAAATATTACATTACACACTGTTAGAAAGTATTTTGTATTTACACGGACACCCGGCTCCAATTGGATGTTTAGTACCATAATTCATATTTACATCTATTTTCTTTTTTGAATACAGTAAAATAAGCCCTAATGCCCAAGTTCTCCTTACATAATTTCTTTAAACAATGTACACCACCGAGACATCTTCTACAGCTGCGATGAAGTCAAACAAATCAGAATCTAAACGCTGATTTTGCAACAACTTGTAAAGAATGAAAAATAAAAACATCTCTGCACATATGAATGTATGTGAATGATATGAATTGTTTTGATGTTTTGTCATTGATCTTGTGCAAAGAAGTGTGACAATAAATGAACAGCAGAAAATATCACATTGTTCAACGTAATCGTTACATAATCACCATCATTATGTATATACAATCACTATTAATAACCTATTCAACTGTCCACAGGATGGACATTAAATGCATTCACACATTTCTGATCCTTGAGTCCAGAAGCTATGCTTATTATCATATTATATTTTATCTCTTCATATATTAAAATACTACTAATTTATGTCTAGCTCCTTCTGAACGTTTGTAGAATCGATTTAGCAATATGAATATGAAAATATGTTTTGAATGAATTGGTACCAGTATTGCATGCAGTACAGATGTGAGGGATGCATGATTAAACATGAGTAATAAATATGAGTTGCTTGATTTCTGGCATGCTTTCAAGTCCACAGTTTCCTGGTTATGAATAATGTGTCATAAGATCATTCAATATTTAGTTATTACTGATCATCGAAGGAGTTGGTAGATAAGATGATAGAATCATATTAAATCAATGTAAATTATTACTTCCTTGAGATTTTAACTTATTCTGTGTTGTTAAACTCTCAGTCTCTCTCAGAAAAGTCAACCCTGTTGTCTTTTCATCTAAAATAAAAGTACAGAAAACATAGATTATTATATAAAATGCCAAACTACAAAGAAATATTGGTGAGCATGATACGTATTGTTCTTTTCTCTGTGACTGTTGATAAAAATACAATTGCAGACCTTGATGGAAAATGTCTTACATGCAGGTCCATCAGGATTACACATACTCATAAATGATTATGACAGATGCAGTATACCATATAAAAAATAAAAAAAAGATAAAGAAAATCATTCTTCAATTCGTCATGTAATGTAAAGTAAATGTATAAATAAAGTAAATCTGGTCAGTATTGTGCTTTTATATTTCTTCAAGCATTGTAAAGCTAAACTATATTAATATGCCCTTCTCACCGGCGGAGGATGCTGAGCTCTGACCGCCTCTTTTAGATGGATTTCATCATGTTTCATTATAAGATTACGATATTGGTTCTGCACCACGAGCCCCTCCACCGTCTCAATAATTCACTGTTTCAATTCATTTCATATGTAAACACAGAGCTACTCTCTTCTTCTGAATACAAAGAGCATTTTTAACAATCCTGTACAAGAGATATTTACAGTACATAACACAAAGGAATGACTTCATTTTTGTTTACTCTTTTTCATCGAGGAAGCCAAGAGATTCCTTAACTGCTGGCTTTTTCGAACAAAATCAGTATGAAAATGAACAATGCTTCAAGATGTGTGAAGCGCCTATATCGAGAAAGAAAGAAAGAATGGAGTCGAGTCTCAGCCTTAGACTGCATGCAGATGGCACAGACTGTTTGAAGTAGTTTTGTCAGATTATACAAGGAGAAAAAATATTTTTGCTGAACTGACCAGAGATTGAGAGGTTCATAGCATTGAATCTGGAAGAGTTGAGCAGCAGCTCAACTAGACATCTTCCAGTCTTGCTGTATCATCTGCTTTGATCTTTTGTGTTATATGTGTGAAATAATGTGTTATTGGAGAGTTGAACATTCTGTTGAACATGCATTTTCTGTTAATGAATGCAATGTTTCTGTACAAAAATACAGAATATGTGTATGTGCTGTCAATGTCAGATTTACCTCCTAAACGTTAGACAATAAACAAGCAAACTGTAGTCTGTCATTCTCGTTCAGTGTAAGCATGCAATGCTTGGGCAGAATAAACTTTGTGGACGAGACTCTTTGATAAAAGTTAGTAGCCTGAATACCAACCTGTTCTCACACAAAACGCCAAAAACTTCACAAAAAAAGGTACAATAGATACAAAACAGATTAATAGATACAATGTACTTATTATATACATACATTTTTATATATTTTAAAAAAAATTTATGTAGAGACATGTATAATTAATCAAAAAATCTAACTCTCCCACCAAACCTGTCCTTAACTTTAACCGCATCCCACCAACACAATAAGTACATTGTACCAATAAATCATACAAGATAATATCTGAGTTACTTTTTCAAATAAGTAACGCAAGTTTTCTTTTTCTCCTGTCCTCATGTTGAGAGAAATCTACTGTATAGTTCTAAAATAAATATGAATATGCATTAATTCATCTGACTCACAAAAAAAATTGATTCAGTATTCCTCAAAATGAATAAAAATAATGCAACTCAGAATATGACGCAAACCTGCAATAATTAAATGTTATAATAATACAATAGAATAATCTAGACAACATGAGAGCGTTAAAATGATGACAGAATTTTCTACTTGGGTCAACAATACTTTTAAGAGGAAATAAGGAATCGAAAAAAAAAAAAAAAAGGCTGGGTCTCAAATAAATTTGCAGCATTGTTTGCCATTACTCTCTTGATGAACTTTTTCAGTACCTTATTTTTTGAATCGCCTAGTCCTAATGCTGCATCATCCACAAAGATCGGTTCCCACATGGAGTCATGCATGGAGTCAATATCCCTCTGTTTCATTCTGGCATACAGAGTATCGTCTCTCTGAACTACATTTCCCACCAACCACTGAAAGCATACAAAATCATCACTGTCAAAGCAGTCACTTCAAGAAAGCTGGTGAAACTTACATATTGGGCTTCTTTAAGAGTGTGAGGCAATGCTGGCATTTTGTGGATTATGCCTCAAAGAAAAGCACTGCCCTAAATGCAGAATGCTACAGTATACTACATCTGAGCACCAGCGAAACATCTTCAGAATTTCAACAAACAAAAAGACCAAGAGTCTTAGTTTCTATCAGTGCTGTTATTACTTGAGCTATTATATATCAGCGGTTTTCATTCAAAGAAAGAAAGAACGATCTGTTCTGATAGGAACTCAGAAATCCAGGGGAAAACAATTCTAAATGCCAATAATACAAAAGCCTAATCTAAAATCTTGGCCCTAGGTCTCTGTGTTATAAATTATATAAACAACTAAACATTAGTTTATCCTCTAACTATAGCACTATCCTGAAATAAGCACTCAGCTTTCTCTGAAATAATGATAGGACCAGGACCAAAACTAAATAAATAAAATAAAAACACTCTTGTAAAGCTTGAGTGCTGTTTTTCTGCTTCTTCTTAACTGTTTTATATGCATCTATTGCATTTATCTCACAGTGGCAAGAATAAGTTTGTGAACCCTTTGAAATATTTGGATTTCTACATCGATTATTCATCAAATGTGGTCTGATCTTAATTTAACCCACAATTATAGACAAACACAATCTCACTGAACTAATAATGCACAAACAACTGTTTTTTTTTTGTTTTTTCTTTATGATTATTTGCAAATCGCCTTTCCTCTTTCATGGAGGAGAGGGGCGGGGGGAGCAGAGCTCATTAGCATTTAAAGAGACATGCACCGAAACGGCTCGCTCTGAACAGAGCTGTTTTTGACAAGGTAAAACCATTGAGTTTTGAGATTACAGTTTATAAATGTTTGAAAATCTATATTTTTCTTACACTAACGCATCGTTTTGCTTCAGAAGGCCTTTATTAACACCCCGGAGCCATGTGGAGTAGTTTTATGATGGATGGATGCAGTTTTTAGACTTCAAAAACAGGTGCACTGCCATTATACAGTTTGGAAGAGCCAGGACCATTTTTAATACAACTGTGATTGTGTTTGTCTGAAAGAGGAACATCAGATATACCTAAGATGCCCTGAGGGTGAGTAAATCATGGGATCATTTTCATTTGTGGGTGAACTATCCCTTTAAGTCTGTTCTCCAAAGCATTCAAGATTTACAGCTTAAGTTGGAAATTTCTTTTTCAGGTCTATGCTAAAAAAGTGGTTAAAAGGTAATAAATGAATTATAACTATTCCATTAACATAATTTAGTACCATAAAACCCATAAAATACAAAATATTACATAAAATGGTCAAACTAACATAGTATAGTACATTCATTTTACTGAAATAAAAATAAAGTAATTTTTGACTGCCACAAGAGCAGCACCAGAGGGTTAAGTCAGATTATGTTTGTCTATAATTATATTCAGACCACATTTTATGAGTAATCAGTGCAGAAATCCAGTTAAAGGGGTCATGTGATGCTGCTAAAAAGAACATTATTTGGTGTATTTGGTGTAATGAAATGTGTTAATGCGGTTTAAGGTTAAAAAAACACATTTTCCACATACTGTACATTATTGTTTCTCCTCTATGCCCCGCCTTTTTGAAACGCGTCGATTTTTACAAAGCTCATCGGTCTGAAAAGCGAGGTGTGCTGTGATTGGCCAGCTATCCAGTGTGTTGTGATTGGCCGAATACCTCAAGCGTGTGATGGAAATGTTACGCCCCTCACCATACTGTGATGATGCCCTGTCCGAGACAAAAACATTAAAACCAGGGTTTCAAATTAACTTTTTCACTCACCAGCCAATTTGGCAACTACATTTTTAAGTTACCGGCCATTCATAATTTCTACTAGCCAAAAAAATTAAACAAATAAATTATGAAAAAAAGGCCAGAGGTAAGCCAACAGCTTGAGGCTGTCCACACTGGATGCGACAAAGTGACCATTGCAAATAATTTGTACTTTGTCAAACAGTAGGCCTACGTCATAAATAGAACGAGGCATCAGTTTACTGCCGGGGATTTGTCGTGCTGTAGGCCGCATCACAGATTATAATGGGTTCTATAGTATTTTGTCGCATCTGGTGTAGACACGGTGTGAGTCTTCAGGCATTTTTTGACTTTTCGTTATTGCTTCAATGCAAAGGAAACCAGTGTGCCCGCCACGCCGTTATTTGTTGCATAGTGATGGGTTGTCATCCTTTCCTCACCCTCATGTCTTTCCAAACCTGTATGACTTACTTCCTTCTGTAAAGCACAAACGATATTTTGTAGAATGTTACTAAACCATTTTGGTTACTCTTGATTTCTACTGTATGGACAAACATTTCTTGAATTTCTCAAAATATCTTCTTTTATGTTCCACAGAAGAAAGAAATTCATACAGGTTTGGAATGACATGATGCTGAGTAGCCTAAGTGATGACAGTTTTAATTTTTGGGTGAACTATCCCTTTAAGAACTTTATAATATTTGTAAATGGAAAACACCTCATTTATAAGTGTCTCTAAATTACAGAGACACTGGTTTTTATCTTTACTCAGGCTGTTACTGAATTAACATTTTACTTAAAATTAATTAGAATGAAACATTTAAAGATAAATAAGCTATTAAAGTTTGTTTACATTGCAGTTTGTTTACATGCATTTGACCTTGTCGTGGCTGTTTTCAGGCAGAACCTTTAATGTTGTCATATCACACAACTGTATAACACAATTCTGTGTCATTTCTGAATGGATCGAGCGATTTGCGCTGTTTTTATCTCTTATAAATCGTGGCGGAAGCGCAGCGCTGTGCGGGAGACTGATCCCGCTCTGCTTTAACGCGCGGCTGGCGGATGCACCGGGTAGCGCCGCTTCACATTTTTGGAGTACTTGCTTTTTGCAGTTTCGTGTGGGCTGTAATTTAAAAACAGCGCCTAATTTGAGGTCTCCCTCGCTTCGGCGATCAGCCCACCGGGAATGTCCCGGGGCTCCCGATGGCTAGTAGCTACATCGCTGGGTATGTTCAAGTAAGCTAGATATGCCCAGATGCTGCGCAATTAGTCTTATTTAATATATCATGATGAGCCTCGAGTTCAGTATTTACACTAAATCTGTGCAGATTTGGCTTACATGAACTTCCTCAAGAAATTAATTAGTAAACATAATTTACGAAAAGTAACCCGCCAAATTGTCTAGTGATTTGACAGCGTTACCCGCCACAGCTGATTTTTACCCACATTTGCTGCTCAAAACTCACGTTTGAATCGTCAGTGGCAAAATTCTTTAAATATGAAAAGGTACTTACAGTCTGTGAGTCAAAACAGCCGGCATTGTAGTCTACTCTCTCAAGATCAGGACACAGTCCTCCATAAAATGTGCTGCACACATCTGAATATTTGGATTGAACTGTTCTGGAACTGTGTTGTAAATACAACTTAACCACTGATTTCTAGTCATGTTCTCTTTTGGAAGACCAAACAAAGTAGTTTCGCTTTCACAACGAAACACAGCGCCTTTATGACATGGCGGCGGCGGCAGCAGCAATACTACAGCGAGAATAAAAGTTACGCCTTCTTTCTTTACGTGAACATTTGGGTGGCATTATGCTAATCTTCCCACATAGTGACGTAGACATGTGGGGGTGTGTCTAAACAAGGTGTTTTAGGAGGGTGTGGACGAGTCTTAACTTTTATAAAGAATATCTCTTTGGGTTTGAGACTTTAATATTTGCAACTTTAGGGATCTTATCTATTCACCAACAGCTTGTAACACTCCAAAGAGAAAGGAAAACTTGAAATCGCATCATATGACCCCTTTAAAGCGTTTAGGGTTCACAAACATATTCTTGCCACTGTATATTCATCTTGTTATTAAGATGTTTTAGATCTGATGTCACCTCATAAAGTAGTAGTACAATAACAAAATATGAGAGTTTAATGTTATAAAGCTGAGTGAGCACACACTACAGGGCTATTCTGACTATGACGACTGGTTATTGTATTTATGTGAACACCTGCAGACGACAATTTAAATGCCATCTACTGATATAATGGTGGTAGATTTATGTGCCTGTACTTATAAGAATAAAAAATAGATAAGCAAAAGGCTTGACTGACAGTGAATATTAAAATCACAAACTACCTTAACCCTAACATAAGCCCATATCTGATGTTTGCAACAGCCACAGAACCTCCAAATATGACTGCAAACAGAAGTCATAAAATAACGACTATGTTAAAGAAGAACCATGGTTTTCACTGTCAAACAATCAAACTACTCTAAATGTACAGATTTTATAGGGCAGTCTCGTGTTAGTTACAATCAAGTCAGACATTGAAATTGCAGTGAATATATGAATATGCACTAGACAGAACAATCAAAACAGTCATTCACAAGTAGAGGGCATTGACACTGACATTGATTTGTAGCGACCACCTGAAATCATTGATTTAAAATCAGAGATGGGATTTTCAGCGACATGAGCGTCAGCGATTGTTGCTTCAGTTTGATATAATTCAGCAGTGATGCAATGTGATTTAATCATTGTATTTGTGAACACCCTTTAACACAGACAGCACAATAGTTTGCAAATATTCTGAGAAGACCTGAAGAGCTACTTCAGAATAATAATATACTATTTTGGTAACAAAACAAGGTCCCGTTAGTTAATGTAAGTTAATGCAGTAACAATGGACAATACATTTGTTACAGTATTTATGAATTGTTGTTAACATTATTTAATAATAATAAAATTATTCATAATTAGTTTCAGTTAGTGTAAGCCCATTAAATAATATTAACAGATACAGCTTTTGCAATTTACTTAAATGTTAACACTTTACAATAAGGTTCATTAGTTAACAATAGTTTAAGGGTTAGTTCACCCAAAAATGAAAATTAGCCCATAAATTACTCACCCTCAAGGCATCCTAGGTGTATATGACTGTCTTCTTTCAGACGAATCCAGTCGGAGTTATATTAAAAATTGTCTTTGATCTTTCAAGCTGTTTAATGCCACTCAGCGGGTGTTGCATTGCTTTAGTCCAAAAGAAGTTAAATAAAAAGCACCCATCCATAAAAAAAAGTGTCTCACACAGCTCCAGGGGGTGAACAAAGGCCTCCTGTAGCGAATCGATGTGTTTTTGTAAGAAAAATAGCCATATTCAAAACGTAATAATCACTTTAATGTAGCTTGGCGTGTGCCAACAGTCCTACACGGACGCAGCTCCGGGAGCATGACGTATGAGGTCAGCGCTGCGCATGCACCGCTCAGAAGTGACGAACGGTGAACAAAGGCCTCCTGTAGCGAATCGATGTGTTTTTGTAAGAAAAATAGCCATATTCAAAACGTAATAATCACTTTAATGTAGCTTGGCGTGTGCCAACAGTCCTACACGGAAGCAGCTCCGGCGGATGATGTATGAGGTCAGCGCTGCGCATGCACCGCTCAGAAGTGACGAACGCGGAAACGCAGCGGAGAGATCAAAACAAAGCAATGGTCACTTATTAGAAGCACAAAACGAGGATTTGTAAAGAAGAATGTCAGAGGATTTCGATATAAGCCAAGAGGAGACAGGTTTTCCTTTGCTAAAGTAAGGAAACTTTGCTTCCTTTGCTCCTCTTAACAAACTTTGGTTTTGACGAGACTCACCGCCGCATGACATACGTCATCCGCCCGGAACTGCTTCCGTGTACAACTGTTGGCGCAAGCAACATTAAAGTGATTATTACGTTTTGAATATGGATATTTTTCTTACAAAAACACATCGATTCGCTACAGAAGGCCTTTGTTCACCCCCCGGAGCCATGTGAGACATTTTTTTTTAATGGAAGGGTGCTTTTTATTTAACTTATTTTGAACTGATGCATGCAACACTCGCTGAGTGGCATTAAACATCTTGAAAGATCAAAGACAATTTTTAATATAACTCCGACTGGATTCGTCTGAAAGAAGAAAGTCATATACACCTAGGATGACTTGAGGGTAATTTATGAGCTAATTTTCATTTTTGGGTGAACTAACCCTTTAACTACCTTAGTTAACATTAACTAAGAATAAACAATACTAATACAGCATTTATTCATATTAGTTAATATTAATTTCAACATTAACTAATGCATGACGAAAATCTTTAACTAATGCTTGTTAACATTAGTTAATGCACTGTGAACTAACATGAACTAACAATGAACGAATGTATTTTCATTAACTAACATCAACAAAGATGAATAAATACTGTAATAAATATATTGTTCATTGTTCATACATTTAACTTAAAGTTAGTTAAGTTAGTTAATACATTAACTAATGGAACCTTATTGTAAAGTGTTACCAATTAAATTAAAATAAAATATATATTTTCCCCCAATTTTACATTGTTACTTTACATTAACTAATATATTTAAATATATTTTCAACCAGATTTGAACTGTTACAACTTCAGTAGTATATGTATTTTTTTTCTTGAATATTTTGTAACCCTGCTCATCAGCCGTCAGATCATACCTAGTGCATTTTAGGTGTTTTCCTACCTTTTTGGCAAAAGGGAACACCACAGCTCTTTTTCTTCTGGTAGCACTGATTCAAAATAAAACGCTTGTAACGTGTTACCACTATTTTTATAATTTGCCTTTTTATTAATTTGTAAGTTACTGTGCAGCTATTATAAACTTTGCTAGTGTGTGGATTTCAAACATACTTTGTTGGGATCCATTCTCATTTTTTCATTGTTGGCTATGGAGGCTTTCTCTGCAGCTCTCTTCTGCCGCTGCGGTCCTCTGCCGAAGAAGATGTAGTTGACCAGCGCGTACTCCAGCAGAGCCAGGAAGACGAAGACGAAACAGCCCATCAGGTACATGTCAATGGCTTTGACATACGGGATCTTTGGAAGCGTCTCCCGCAAATGTGTGTTGATGGTGGTCATGGTCAGCACAGTGGTGATACCTGCGTTCAACAGGGATTCATTGTTAAGGGTGCAAATGACAAGAAGTGGATTCAGTTGAGCAACCATAACAAGGATTCATAAATACTAACCTTTTCTGGCTAACACTTTATTTAGACATTCGACTAACTATAAGTAACTTTGCAAATATGTCAACTAGCAATCATTAGAGTATTAGTAGACTGTCTGCTTAATATATTCTCACACTGTATTTCCCCCGAAAGATATTCTACTGATACTTTTCAACTACATGTCAACTTATTCTACTAACCCTAACTTATGAGTCTATTAATACTCTAATGAGAGAGAGTGAGAATGAATGAGAGTGCAAATTAATGAGAGTTAGTTGCCATGTACTGTAGCTGCAAAGTTACATAAAGACCCACTGTGGTGAAAATCAAGTTTTTAACATTGTTTACATGTCTGAATGGTGTTTATTTTATTTTATTTTATAGAGTGAGAATGAATGAGAGTGCAAATTAATGAGAGTTAGTTGCCGTGTTCTGTAGCTGCAAAGTTACATAAAGACCCACTGTGGTGAAAATCAAGTTTTTAACATTGTTTACATGTCTGAATGGTGTTTATTTTATTTTATTTTAAACTAATATTGCTGTTGAGACAAAATGCAATGCCATCAAGTTAGCATTTTTAAACATTCGCTCACTAAAAAATAAATTATTTCTAATCAATGACTTAATAACCACAAACAACCTGGATTTTATGTTACTAAACAAAACATGGCTGGAAGACAGCTGCAGTGCAATGGTCCTCTATGAAACAGCCCCTCCTAACTTTACTTTCGTGAGTGTTTGCAGGACTGTTAGGAGAGGTGGAGGTGTAGCTGCTCTATTTAAAGATGTCTATCAATGCAAGCAAGTGTCATTTGGTCAGTATTTGTCTTGGTCAGTTCAGAGTATGAAAAGACAACGCAGAAAAGCTGAGCGGATGTGGCGGAAGACGAAACTTGAAATTCACTAAAGCATCTATAAAGACAGCCTTTGTGCTTTCTATGTGGAACTACTAGATCTCAGAGCTGCGTTTGACACGGTCGATCATAACATACTGCTAGAGAGACTGGAAAACAGAATGTCTAAAATGGACCCTCAAAATAAAGTGTAACCCTTTTCTGTAAACTCGTATCTTAGCTTTAAAAGTGATTGCATGCTTTTAAATAGATTGGGGGGAAATGTGTTAAAACGTTTTATACATGACCATCTCTCGAGTTATACAAACATAAAAGACTTTAAGTTTTTTAAGTGAAGCTGCCCATGCATTGATATTATGTGACATATTTTTATCCCAACCAATTTAAATATGAGTACACTGTAAGTTTAAGTGCTCTCACCTCATTCTGTGAATATCAAACGAGATCACCCCGAATGTGTCCTCATTTAGAAAGTTAGGAAAACATTTGTGCATGTGTGAGGCGGCTTTATCGCCATTCTTTTCTTTCAGTTGATGATTCAGAATCTTAAAAGTGTATGATTTGACATGCTTTCAGCTGGCGGAGTGGGATAACCTTAATCAGTGAAACACTAAGCCTGCCTTCAACTAACCGGTGATTAACAAATAGTTGTCTTTGTATGCACTGAAATGTCCATTCAGTGTCATTCTGACAGTTTTCATGAAATGTACTGAAGATCCTGCGACAGGTATTGTAGAGCTTATGAGTGGCAGAGTTGTTATTACTCTCCATTGTGTTTGTATCATTAGAACAAGCACTATAGCTAAAGGGGAAACCACTAAAAGCTTTTTGTCTAGGGATATTTCACCCTTCTCTGTTCCCCATCATCACCTCTCTTGGCTGCTGAGTGCTAAAAGAGTAACTTGCATATGGAACCAATATAGACATGATTAAACTTGACCAATAGCACAGCAGATCCCGTCCTCCTCCTCGGCCTTGTGTTATTGGCTAAACCAGAGAGATATGCAGCTGATACTCTCTACAGTGGTAATACACAGAGGAAAATTGGCCTATAGGTCTATCCATGTAAATGCACATCTGCAATTTAAATGCCTAATGACTCTAATCAGGATCAGCTTTGAACAGTGATATCTGCTCGTCCTATACATCCACACTCGCTCTGCCTTCTGTTCAACGCTACAGCGGTTTGCACTTGTGTGGATGAATGAGGCCAGGACAGACAGCAATCACAAAGAGTGCCCTGTTATTCACCGTGAGAAACCTGCACGCCTGCTGCCTACATTAGCCTTACATAATCAGTGATGACGGGAAAAAAGTGGAGGCTTATGAAACACACAGAGAGAGAGAGAGAGAGAATGTGTGGTGTAAAAAAAAAGACAAAAATCAAATCAGTACAAAAATGCAAATTAAAGAAAATGCTTTTCTTTATTTTTGCATTAATACAAAAATGTTAAAGATTTTTTTTATTATTAATAATAGTACACACACACACATATACATACAGTATATATACAGTAGTGCTCAAAATTATTCATACCCTTGGTAAATATGAGTAAAGAAGGCTGTGAAAGTAAATCTGCATTGTTAATCCTTTTGATCTTATATTTTAAAAAATGTACAAAAACCGAACCTTTCATTGGAGAATAAGAATCTCTTTATGACGTAAATGTTTTTCTTTAATACACACTGGCCACAATTAATCAATTAATCATCACCCTTTTATTCAATACTTTTTTGCAACCTCCGTTTGCCAAGATAACAGCTCTGAGTCTCTCAGTGCGTTTGGAGAATACCTGAGAAGAGATCAGAGACCATTCCTTCAGACAGAATCTCTCCAGATCCTTCAGATTCCCAGCTCCATGTTGATGCGTCTTCTCTTCAGTTCACTCCACTCTTTTTCTATAAGGTTCAGCTCAGTAATCCATTTTTGTGTTGATTTTGATGTTTGATTTGGATCATTGTCCTGAAGGACACGGCCCATTATAAGATTTCTAACAGAGGCCATCAGGTTTAGATGTATTATCTGTTGGTATTTGATCTATTATTAGTATTTGATTTGTATCTGAACAAGACGTCCAGGACCTCCGGCAGAGATATAGGCTCACAACATTAAAGGCACAGCAGTATATTTCATTGTAAACACTGGGTATTTTTTGCCCCTGTGTGCACCAAACCCATTTTGAGTGTTTGCTGCTATAAAGCTCATTTTTTTAGTTTTATCTGACCATAGAAGCCAGTCCCGTTTGAAGATCCAGTAGAGTCTGGCAAACGAGTTTGTTTCTGGATGAGAGCAGTTTCTTTTCTTGATTTTTTCTTGAAACCCTCCCAAACAACATGTAGTGATATAGGCGCCGTTTGATCTTTTTATTTATGTATTTATTTATTTATTGAGTGTTTCTTACTTCTTTTTCTGCAATTCTCCATTTGTGATCCTGTGAGAGTCTTTGGCCACTCAAACTGTCCTTCTCGCCTTGCTTTAAGACAATATAGACACACGTCCTCTTCCAGGCAGATTCGTTAAATTAAATTGATTGATTGGAAATTCTCAATGATTGTCCTGATGGCATTTCCAGCACTTCAACTCTTTTCTTACAGCCACTTTCTGATTCGTGAAGCTCAACAATCTTTTGCTGCACATCAGAACTATATTCTTTGGTTTTACTCCTTGTGATGAACAATTATGGGAATTTGGCCTTTGTTTTCCCTCATATTTATATTCCTGGGTTCATGTTCATAGTCACACTGGTGTGCTAAAAAAAAAAAAGTATATAAAAATATATGTATGGGAGTATTCTTCAGAGATATTTTACTCATAATAATTTCTAGTGGAACCAATAATGAATCATTTTGAGCACAATTGCTTATATATACACTAACTATATCAACATGCAATACATTTAAAGACTTAAATGTAGTTTAAAAGAACATTATGAGCTGGAAACATTGACAAACATAAGTTGTAAATTAGTTAAGCTGCTAAGTTCTCAAATGAAAGTGTAATACGGTACAGCCAGTCAAACGTTTACACTGTTGGTTGCTTAAATCTTCTGTGACAAACTGTAATGAATACAAACATGGATCTCCACTTTACTGTTTGCAATTGAGGTTGCTGAATAAATGCACTTACGCATTGTGCCAAAATGCAATGTCTTCTGTGTTGTGTTATACTAGAAAACATGAATATAATTTGCATTTATTGGAATTAATATCAGCACTCTTGACTTTCGATAAGGGAATAATTTAGGAAAGTAGATGAGGTAAATAAATCCTGTATGAGTTAACATTCTCTTTATTTGTGATTATATAGCTGAAAGTGCAAAAATTCTGCTTACATTTTACTATTGACAGAAATCATGATCAGACATCATGATTATAATTTTGAGCAAATTAATTGTGATTATCAGTTGAACCATTATGCAGCATATGGCTAAGTTTTAATTGTATAAAACTAGAGTAAAATTCCCAGATTTCAACTAAAACTTGACTAAACTGAAAACAATGATCAAATAAATAAATAGGACATTTGACACAAGATAAAAAGCTGATAAAATTAACACTAATAATTATTATTTGTTTATGTAATAATAATAATAATAATGGTTTTGTACAGGATGATGTTTTTTATGGTTTTGGTGTAAAGAGTTTTTAGTATTATTATTCTTTTATTTTCTTAGTGAAATATTTGTTTTATTTATTTTTTATTTAAAAAAATGCAGATGCTTTTTTTATGGTTTACTTTTGCTTTTGGTGCAAAGAGTTTTTAGTATTATTATTCTTTTTTTTCTTAGTAAAATATTTGTATTATATTTTTATTTTTTTTAAAATGCAGATGTTTTTTTATGGTTTACTTTTGCTTTTGGTGCAAAGAGTTTTTAGTATTCTTATTCTTATAATTTTTTTCTTAGGTGGCCAGGGTTAGCTGCGTGCAGTGTGTCTGACAGCTGAGTATGGAGAACGGCTCAAGAGAACAGCCAGTGCCACTCTATAGGCATCCAATACCGACATGACGGATGAATATACAAATAAACAACTGTTTAAAGCAGAATTCAAACTGAAATACCATAACAAATCATGCTTACTGCAGCCTTAACTCATACATTAGAAGTGAATGTATATGTGCATAATAAAAGTCACGAGCTTTGAGAAAGGTTTGTTAGATTAGCGCCTACCTAAAGCAACCCTGGCAGCCGAGGCATCATAGTTGATCCAGAAGGATACCCAGGACAGGATGGTGATTAGGATGGAGGGCATGTAGGTCTGCAGAATGAAGTAGCCAATGTTTCTCTTCAGCTTAAAGCTCAGGGAGAGGCGAGGATACGAACCTGGATGAAAATAGCAATTAGCCAGATTTATCAAATGCTTTTTATACAGTTTAATATCTTTTTATATTTTGCTTTAGAACCAGAATAAGTCCCACTCACAATTTCCTCGGTTAATCATACTTAACTAATTTTGTATCAGAAACTCTACTATATGTAATATTCACATTTGTGCATCAATGCTTTGTATGATGAAAGTGATGCTCAAACACATGCATATTATTACTTATACGGTTTATTAAGGTAATTTATATATTTATATATCTCTATATTGCCTTTAACGGGACAATACAGAGAAGGGGAGATAGGAAAGACAAAGGAGAAGAGCAGAGGAGAGGATCGGGAAAACACTTTAAACCAAGAATTGCATTATTGCATGTTGATGAAGTCCAAAAAAAGTAATTAAAAAATGTTTAAATAAAAATTAGTGCATTAACATTACACTACAAATGCAATGTGGTGACATGAAAAGATTACCTAAAATGCACCATAAAATGATCCTAAACGTAATCCAGTTTATTCTTGCGCTGTAATCCAAGATTTCTGTGCATTGATTGAGGGAGAGAACCAAATTCAAATCCTTATTCCACATCTACATCCTCAGCTGCCGAGTCAAGAAGCATGTTTCATGTGCTTTTAAGAAATGCATGCCTTCGCAAAAGTAGATCAGGATAAGATTTTTAGTGATGAACAACACAAATGTTACTCTGTACCTCAGCCAAACCTGCTGTACGACATGAGAGAGTAATGCAACTCTACTTCGGGACTGCTTTTTGCCTTTTTTGGAATGCATTGTTAGAATTGAACTTGTGTTTGTTAGGTTTGTGTTTGTACTATAATATTTAGGAAATGGTTAGGGTTAGCTTGACAAATTCATGAATATGAAAATGCAGTCAATGAATAAATCAAGTGGTCAAACAACATTGTGGTAAATAACTTATAAGAACACTCTGTTTCTTGTTTTTAGTGTGTGTGTGTTTCATTCTGAGGTCAAGGTTACGTCTTACAGCCGCTGGAGGCCTGGCCATGCCAAAATGAGAGGGTTGATAAACCCAGACATTAGTAGTTGCCCACTAGAGCCGGATGCTCTGGTAGATCCTTTGTAAGAGATATTAGAAACCCAGGCTCATTGGAAATACTTGCCACCGACAAACCTACTGTGTTAGAAAACCCATACATATGAAGGTGTGTGTGTGACGCTAGCGGTCAGAAGTATCAGTTTTCAAATCTCACAGCATGTTGAAATCATTTTGAAGTCATTGCATAATATTTTAAGCTTCAAGTTGGTCTTTTCAGCAAGGTAAAGAGTAAACTTCACCTTGCTATCCCTTAATCACATGCTTATTTCAGTTCTCAGCTTATTCCAGAAGTGTTGTGTAGTTTGGCTTTGTTACCTGTAGAAAACACCACGTTTTTAGAGATGAGTTTGTAGTCCACTATAGAGAACTGAGGGAGCTCTATCCTTTCAACCCCCGTTACTGCATGGTCACCTCCTCGCCAGTGAAACTCAATATCATCTGTGGTGTAGCCGTCTGAGGGACAAACAGACAGATATTAAAACAGATATGGGTGGATGTCGTGTGATTGAGGTCTCATTTGTTGGTCTGAAGTCTTGGCATGACCATTAAATTAAAACAGAAATTGTAAAAATAAATAAATAAAATAATAAATGTTCCTTAATTCAACTTATTTACTCACACACTCTCTCACACACACACACACACACACACACTCTCACACAGACATACACACACACACACACACACACA